ATTTGTAAAACAGAGACAACAATTTTAATCATCCAAATAGGTGAGATTTTGTGCTTTAAAAATCTAGAGGACAAATTGGCTCAAGAGAGATGGGAAGTTTCTGAGAATGAATGCTGAGGCCTGAAATAGAAACAACTGCAGTGAGGAATAAAAAGACATTAGCAAAAAGAGACCTATGTAGAGAAAGATGGAGAATGAATGAATGAAAAAATGCTTCTTAAGCATTTACTATGTGCAGGAATACAAATAGAAAAGTGATTGAATCCCTGCTGTCAAGTCCCTGTTCACTCTCTAGAGAGGGAGACAATGCATATAGAAGTTTTCAGCTGTAAGCCAGATGGAAAGTCCAAGTGGTCCTTAGCAGTCCTTAGCAGCAGTGGTGTTGATGATAAAAGCATTTTCTTTAACGTCATTTCCATTGACAAAACTACATCTGTTTATACATCTGACCATTCCAAAGGACTTTGGAGGCAAGAACTTTCTTTTCCAGGTCTTCAGTAGCTGTGGCTTTGGCATCATGTTTACACAAGGGTTACTTCCCAGACAATGGCTACATGGGACAGTCTGGAAGCAGAACTAATGGTCTGGGATGGGGTCGCCTGACTTTTGTAGGGCCCCTGGGCTTACTTGCTGGTTAGTGGCAGTTGGTTGGCAATTGGTATTGTGTTAGCTGATATTGGTCCCCTTCCCATAGGATGTTTCACCTGGATGATGGCTTCTGGAAACAAGGTTGGGCTAGTGGTGGGTTGGGGCACTGCCATTTCCAGCTTGGGTGCAGGTTCTTGGGTTGTCTTCACTAGGATCTGAGGGGAGATGATGGTTGAGGTGGTAGCAGCAGTTTGACTTTCCCAGCACATGCTGCATCCTCTCTCTCTTTAAAGATGCCTTACCTACCTACTTCAGCTATGTGAGCACCCCTGTCCTGCCAGTTAAAAATGAATGCTGGATCATCAATTAATTTAGATTTTAAATAAACTTTGTAAAAGACAGAACCAAATAATGAACGCAAAATGTGGCACAATTCTATACAATACTGTAAGAATAACATCAGGAAAAGTGAAGCTTAGGATGAATCAAACTGCAAACAGATAATAAGGAAAACAAAAATGGCTTTCTCATTCATTTATTTATTTGGCTTTGTTGGTTATAAAACTAAAATAGACAATGAAGAGAAGAAAAAACTACTTAATTCTTTGTCTCCTCTATTGAGGAAAATTGTGTGTGTGTGTGTGTGTGTGTGTGTGTGTAAGGGGAGGGTATGGTCTGTATGACATGCAAGGTTTATAAGAATTCCTGATTAAATGAAACAAAGCAAAAACAATAAATGATAAAAGAGCTCTGAAAGTTAAAAAGAATTATAAAGAGAATAAATAATTTAGAACAAATTGTAGAAATCTTTATCCAATTCTTTACGATAATTAGAATGGATCAAACCGAGCTAAATGACTCCATGAGACATCAAGAAATATTAGAATATAAGCATAAGATTTAAAAGAGAGTAATAAAATGTAAGATATTTACTATAAAAAAAACCACAACTGACTTGGAAAACAGATAGAGGAGAGAAAATGTAAGAATTATCAGATAACCTGAAAATGAAGACCACACAATAAATCTGGATGCCATAGTTTCAGAAATCATAAATGAAAGCTGCCCAGATCTATTAGAATTGGAGGACAAAGTGAAAATAAAAATAATCTACCAGTCATCTTCTGGAAGAAACCCAAATTGAAAAATTACAGGAATGAATGAGTTCAAGTACCAAGGAACCACAGTAATCATTGCACAAGACTTCATAGCTAGTACTCTAAAGAAAAGAAATCTTAGACTATGGTATTCTAAAAGGCAAAAATAAAGAATTATAAACAATTATAAAATAAAAATTATAAAAATAAAAACAATAGAATTATAAAAATCATAAAGCAATTTTCTATGAAAGATAGTATAATGCTACCAAAAATGGAGCTTTAATGGAATATAGAACTTTCAAGTATTCCTGATTAAAAATCAAAGCTGAGTAGAAACTCTGAAATGCATATGGAGTCAAGAAAAACCTGGAAAAGTAAAAGTATTTTTAGCAATTAGAAGAGGAGAAATGAAAATGAAGTGCTTTGATTTTACTAAGAGGACAAAAGACAACTGTTTTTCTTCCCTCTAATGTTTCTAAGTGTCAGGGAGGGAGTCACATGAAACAAAAACAGGACTTGAGGCTTTTTTTTTCTCTTTTGATGGTGTTGAGAGGAAAGAAAATATAGGTATAAGTTAGGGAAGAAATGAGGAAGAAGGGAGAAGCTTACTATTTTTCATAATTGGGTGGTATGAGAAGAATATTCAGACATGGAGGAAGAGGTGAGAGGAGTGTGCATCACATGACCTTTGCCATTATCTTGACTGGACAAAGAATGTTTCAACACACATATACACACGAAGAGTTTGGTGCAACAGACAATGTGGTACTAAGATTTGTTAAACTTAGTGGAGAAACAGGTAGGGACAAAGAGAGGGTAGAGTTAGAGTTGGGGAGGGAAGGGTGAAAGGAAAGAAAGGAAATAATTGAGTCTGACAGGGGAAGAAAAGAGGGCCAATGAATAGAAATGGATTGCTTAAATGATATGTTACTAGTGTTTATTAGATTTCTTCTCTTTCACCCCCTTTTTTTTCTTTTAGCAGCTGTGCATGGCACCTTTACAAATTTGTCATGTGTTATTCATTAAAACCTTGTAAATAAAAGCAGAAAAGCAGAAATATTAAACACATACTTTACTAACCACAAAGAAATAAAAATTACAATCAGTAAAGGGCACTGGAAGAAAGGATTTAAAGATAAATGGAGATCAAATAACAATCCTAAAAAATTGATGGGTCAAAGAAAAAATGGTAAAAATAATCAATAATTTCATTATACAAAACTATATTGATTACATAAAGCTACAATAATGAACTATTATAGCAATATACCTAAACTTTTGAGATGTAGCTAAAGCAATCTATAGTGATGTATTTCTATCTCTAAACACTTTGGCTACATATCTTTTTATGTCTCTCAACAAATTGTCAATTTCAAAAAAAAAAAGAAAAATGAGAATTCATAGCAAATGAAGAGGAAATAAAAATAATTACAAAGTATTTTACACAATTAAATGCAAACAAAATTGATAAATGAAATGGATGAATATTTGTAAAAACATAAAATGCTTGGGTTAACAGAAAAAGAAATAAATATTTTAGATAAGCTAATCTCAGAAAAAGAAATTGATAAAGCCATAAGAGATCTCCAAAAGGAAAAAAAAACATTCCCCCAAAAAAACAGACCTGAGAGATTCACATGTGAGCTCTATCAAACATTCAAAAAACGATTATTTCTAATACCATTGGGAAGATAAGAAAAGAAGAGTCCATATGAAACTCATTTTATGAAGCACATCTAATCTTGATTGCTAAATCAGAAAGAGACAAAATAGAGAAAGGAAACTAAGAACCACTATCCCTAAAAACATTATTGAAAAAATATTGAAATAAATATCAGTAAGAAGGCTATACTAACATATTGAAAAGGTATAATGCCGATTCAATGTTAGGAAAACTAGAGACATAAAAGTCTATATTAACAAAAACAATAAAAACCACATGATTAAATTAACAGATTCATAACAAAAAAAACTTTCTACAACATGTAACACCCTTTGTTAAAAATATTCTAAAGCATGAGAATAATTGGAGCATTCCTCAGTATGGCAAATAGTATACATAGAAAACCAAGAGCCAGCAATATCTGTAATGGAGAAACTTGAGAGATCTTATTCTAATAAGATCAGGGATAAAGCATGGGTGTCATTGCATAAAATAAAATACCATAGTGTCTTGCACATAGTAGGTCCTATAGAAATGGTATTCCTTTCCCCTCCTGTATTCCATTATCATCACCATTATTTGACATAGTTCTAAAAGTGCTAGCTGCAGCAATAAAAGAAGAAAAATAAATTGAGAGTACAAGTATAGGCAAAGAGCCAATAAAATTATTATTTTCTGCAGAAGGTCTACTTAAGAGAAACATAGAGTGAATTAAAATTAATTGAAAAAATTAACACCTTTAAAAACATAACCGTATTTAAAGCAAATCCATTTAAATCATCCACTTTTCTTATGTTACCAATAAAGAGAGATATAGAAATTGAAATTCAATCAAAATGATTATAAAATGTATAAAAGTTATGGAAATTACCTACCAAGACACACATAGGAATTGTATAGGTACAATTACAAAGCACTTTTTACAAAAGTAAAGACAAAGAGTTATTAATTTATCATGATTGGAGTCAATATAATAATAATGCCAATATTAAATTAAACTTATTCTGTTTGGCCTCAGAAGGCAGAGCTAAGAGTATTGAAAGGGGTGGGAAACCTGCCTCCTTGAGGCCACATGTGGCCCTCCAGGTCCTCAAGTGTGGCCCTTTGACTGAATCCTAACTTCACAGAACAAATCCCTGATTCAGTCAAAGGAGCTCACTTGAGGACCTAGAGGGACACATGTGGCTTTGAGGCTTCAGGTTCCCCACCCCTGGAAGAAACATGTTGAAGCTTGATGTAGCAAAATATTTAGATTGTGAGTTATCTTATATCTCAGGAGGTAGTAGATTCCCCCTAACTTGGAGGTCTTCAAGCAGAGGCTAAATGATGATATGTTGTGGGTATTTCTATAGTCAAGTGACTTTCCAAAGCTGAAAGAAATTCTAAAGTGGTTCAGAAGACCAGTAGAAGGGATTTCATTTCAACTGTAGGTGGATTAGATGATCTCTGACACCCTTTCTAACTCGGTAGTTCTGTAGGATTTATGCTATCTATCTTCCAGCTTTGATATAACAATCAAGTGACATACACAAAGTACTTTGTAACATTTAAAGTTCTACATAAATATCTGATAATATTTTGATTAAATCATTTCAATCAATAAGCTTTTAACTATGAATGTGCTATAGAGAAATCAGAAGACTACTCACCTGACTTTTTTGTGGGTGATGTCAAAACGTAGCCTAAGGAGAAAGAGAGAGAGAGAGAGAGAGAGAGAGAGAAGAGAGAGAGAGAGAGAGAGAGAGAGAGAGAGAGAGAGAGAGAGAAAGAGAGAGAGAGGTGAGATGGGTGCTGGAACAGTTGAGGCCATTGTCCTATATGGGTGACTCAAACCTTAGCTAAAATTTATATCCCCCCCCAAGTAATTAATTGGGCTCCCATTAGTACAAAATTCCAGCATACACTTTTGTACCAGTAGAGGATTATACTGTTACACTGTCCCCTCCCCAACACAACTAGGTAATTCAAGTGCCATCCTATTCAGATCCCACGTGAATGATTCAGAATAACCCCAAAACAGTAATTGATTTCTCACAATCTCTACTCCAAAGTGTAACTTCTTCAGTAGATGCCATTTAATTTGACTTACAGTGAAAAGGGCTCTGATGCAGAGAAGGAGAAAATTGGAAGAGCGAGGGGTTTTGGGGGAGAGATTATGAGTTCTGTTTTGTGTATGTTGGGTTTGAGGTGTCTATGTGATATTTGGCTTGAGGTAGCCAAAAGACAGACCTGTAGCTGAGGAGAGAAACTAGGACCATGTATATGTATATGTATAGAATGTGTATATGTATATGTATATGTATATGTATATGTATATGTATATGTATATGTATATGTATATGTATATGTATATGTATATGTATATGTATATGTATATGTATATGTATATGTATATGTATATGTATACGTATATGTATATGTATATGTATACGTATACGTATACGTATAGAATGTGTATATGTATATGTATATGTATATGTATATGTATATGTATATGTATATGTATATGTATATGTATATGTATATGTATATGTATATGTATATGTATATGTATGTATATATGTGTACCCACACAGAGATCTGGGAATTATCAGCATAAAAGTAATAATTCAGCTAATGAGATCATGCTATATATAAATATATAATATAAATATATAAACATGCTATATATAAAGACGCAAGAAAAGAAGGCCCAGATCAGGGCCTTGTGGAACAGCCATGGTTGCTGGCTGTAACACTGATGAAGATCCAGCAAAGGTTCTTTTTGAGAAGAAACAATCAGATAGATGGAAAGGATAGTTATAAAAACCCATAGAGAAGATGGTACATAGGAGGAGAAATTGATCAACAGTTTCAAATGCTGAAGAGAGGTCAAGAAGGATAAGAATTTAGAAAAATAACCATAAGATCTGGCAAATAAAAGGCCAATGGTAACTCTAAAGAGGTAATTCTCAGTTGAACGATAAAGGTGGAAGTCAGATTTTAGGAGGTTTAGAACAGAGATGGAAGAGGAAGTGGAAGCACCAGTTGTAGGTGGCTTTCTTCAGGAATTTACCTGGTAAGGAGAGAAGAGGTATCAGATAATAGCTAGTGAGTATGGTAGAATCAATCAAAGGTTTTTTGATATTGGGGAAGATTTTAGAATTTTGGTAGCAGTAAAGAAGCTATTGGATTGGGAGATATTGAAGATTAAGAAGAGTGGGGATGATCATGGATGGTGATGGGGATGATTTGGTAGAGAAGATGGGAGATGATGCTCTAAAGATGCAGGCTGAGGGGTATATGTCTCTTATTTAATTACACAACCACAACCCTAGTTCAGACCTTTATTACTTCTTGTATGGACTATTACAATAGCCTTCTAATTAGTTTGCTTGTCTCATATCTTTCCCCATTCCAAACCATCCTCTACTCAGCCACCTAAGCCACTTTATAAAAATACATAAAGCATAGTTCAGCCCATGCCACCACCAACTCACTAAATGACAGCAACTCCATGACTGCAGAACCAAATGTAAAGTCCTTTGTTCATCATCATCATCATCATCATCATCATCATCATCATCATCGTCATCATCACAGCTAACATTTACAAAGTGTATTGAGGTTTGCAAAGCACTTTACAAATATTATCTCATTTTACTCCCACAACAACTCTGAAAGGCTGGTGCTATTTTTATTATCATTTTACGAATGATGAAACTGAGGTAAACAAAAGCAATGTTACTTTCCCATGGACACACGCTAGTAAGTGTCTGAGATAGCACCTGAATTCAGGTTTTCCTGAATACACAATCCATATTCTATCTATTGCACCACTTGGCTGCTTCATCACTTGGATCTGTCCCACCTTTGTGGTTTTCTACTTTACTTCCATCCATTTACTCTACTATCCAGATTAACTGGCCTACTCATTGTTCCTCCTTAAACATGGTACCCCATTTCCCTTCTCGGGGACTTAGCAGTAGCTATTCCCCAGGCCTGGAATATTCCCTTTGCTCTTCATTCTTGGTTTCTCTGGCTTCCCTTAAGGCTCAGTTCAAATTCCAGTCTTTTAATAGGAGGCCCAACTACCATTTCCTCCCCGATATTACCTTTTATCCTCTGTGTATATATCATGTATGTACTGAGACAATTGTGAGAATTGAGTGAACCACACTGACTCCTTCTTGTGACTCAATACTGAATCTAGCTCAGTTCTCTTTCTATTCAATTATGGGTCAAGTCCAATTTCTGTCTTGTAAGAAAACTTTAATTACAGGAATTGTGAGAAAACTTTCTTACACTGTTTGATCCTAGCCCTGTGCAGGTGGAAAGCTGGACCACTTCTACCTGTTGCTTAGAGACCCTTATCTAAGGACCTAGCTCATAACAACCAGAAACCCAATCAGATCTGAGATTGACGTAAGGAGTTTTCTCACAATTATGCAACTCCAACAACTCACATGTCTTATCTGGAAATCTTATCTGGAAATTGGCCCTGAACTAGTCAATCAGTTATTGTTGCTTTGTTCCTTTGATGGAATACAAGAGTTTGTGGGAGTAAAACATGTTTCCCCCCTGATTTCATGGATTTATACCTGTCTATTCTCCCCACTTCCAACTCAGCTCCTAATCTTTCCTCCAATTAGAAATCTGCTTACCTAATTATCCATTCTGTATTGTATTATTATTATCTTTTAATGTATAAATATTTATCTTTCCTTCTTTGGGGGGTCCAGTACCAAGCTGAGGAGGCCTGGTCCTGATTTGTTGTGCAATTGGCATGCATTGCTTAATAAATTAATAATGCTCAGAGGCTCAAATATTTGTTTCCTCAGTATTTCAGATTTCATCCACCACAATACCTAGCTCTTACATGATGTTTCCAACATTTGGATGTGGGCTCCTTGAATGTAGGGGTGGTTATTATCTTCCTTTACATCCTCAGTGCTGATTAAAGTATGTAATACATAGAAAACAAGAAATGTTTGTTGCTTTGTTCAAATAATTAATTTTGAAATTAATTTTTATTTGCCTTTTCTTGTGTCCTCTAAGTCAGCGGTGTCAAGTTCAAACAGAATGCTGGTCACTAAACTATATATAAGGATTCCTGTGGACCTCATATTGACTTAGAAGACTATATAATGACATTATCTATATCCTATTGTTTTTTCATTTACTGTGTTAAATGTTTCATAATTATATTTTAATCTGATTTAGGCTTTACTTGGTGTGTTGAGGGCTATAATGTGACCCAGGGGGCTGTGTGTTTGGTAACTCTGTCATCTTCCAAAAGTCACAATTTTGTTTCCTCCTTGTTTATTCCCTTAATTTATTTCCCCCCCATCTTACAGTAATAGTTAGCATTTCTAGGATTATATTAAATGATAGTGGTGACAACAAAAATCCTTGCTTAGCTCCTGATATTATTAGAAAGGCCTATAACATTTGCCCATTACAGATCACTCTAGTGTTTGGTTTTATGTAGATACTATTTATTATACTAAAGATTATGTGTGTGTGTATATATATATATATATATATGTATATATATACATACATATATATACACTATTTACTGTAGTATATTCTTGTTATATTATGTAACCAAAAAAGGTACTATAAGTAATAAACACTAAATAATAAAATAATCTGCTTGAAACTCCTAATGCAAGGGAATGCATTATAGCAACTATTATGAAGCCCATTGAATGATTACTGAACAATGAAAAAAATAGTGAATGGTTCAGAAAACCAATAAAAGATATTTCATAGAAAAATGGAGCAAATTAAGATAGAAATTAGAATTCTTTTTTTTTTGCTATTTTTAGGCAATGGGGTTAAGTGACTTGCCCAGGGTCACACAGCTAGTAAGTATTATGTGTCTGAGGCCAGATTTGAACTCAGGTCTTCCTGAATCCAGGGCCGGTGCTCTATCCACTGTGCCAGCTAGCTGCCCCAGAAATTAGATTCTTGAAGAATATAAAAGACAAACAAGTAAGGAGAAAATTTTAAAATTATGACAATCTCTTCAGAACAGTAAATTCTATTAAAAGAATAGCAGTCTCAGTCAAGAAGATTGAGGTAGAAAAAATTAACAGAATGAATTTGAAAGATATAAAGATAAAAAGAAAACATGAGATTTCAATAAGCCAAAGCTATTGAACTTGAAGATCAAATTACTCAGAGACAGTCTGAGAATCATAAATCTTACAGAAAACACAACTAAACAAAAATCCTAAATACTATACTTTGAGTGATTATGGAAGAAAATTGTATAGAAGTAGTAGAAATAGAAAGCAAAGTATATAATTGATAAAATCCACAAGTTCTTAGCAGAGAGAAATCCCCAATTTAGCTCTATCAGTACCACTGTGGTCAGTCTTCAGATGTCTGCCTCACCCTCCACCCTCCCCACCCCCATCCTACCTCACCCCAGCCTAGGACTGTGTCTACACAGAAAATTAGATAGGAAGCATATGTTGGTGGTGGTCATTATTGTTGTAAAGGTAACATGGGATCAGTCAGCACTGTGGTTGATTTCATTCTACTTGATTAGTAATTCTTTTCCCTACTGCAGTTCTCAGATTCCTCAGAGTCACCTTGGGGGAGCAATAGCAGTATCCAATATGCTCTAAACTGTATTCACAATGAACTTTGCTTTACAGATTCATGAAACTAATTATCTGATTCTCCCCCT